TTTCCTATGGAAACCAGTAGAACCATCAATTGGTTGGTAAAATTTTGATATTTTGAGTCTGGTAAGTCTTGTTAAACTTTCTTCTTAGGAAGCTATAACCTTATGGAGAATAAAAATTTAATGTTAGATCAAAAGCTCTTAATTGAGAATTATATTTGCAAATGCCGTTTTAATAATATTTTCAAAAGTTCTTGGAATCGTTGTTAACAGAAACCTGCAAAAAATATATTATTTTATTCCTAAAATATAAGATATCACACAATGCACATTCGTATAATATCATTGTGCTAGAAAAATAATAGGTAGTTACTGAGACAATTTAAAAAAAGTATTTCGAGAAAATCAACTTTTAATGTCATCATTGTACTTAACTTTTTTATTGCTAAATTATTAATAATGTCATTTTGTGTAGTTCGTTGTGATTTTTATAATATATATTATAAAAAACTATTGTCAATGTTAATGTGCCAAGTTTTTTTAATAATTATGTCCTTGTTATAGTAAAAACACATTTAAACACATTTTTAAAGTTTTCTGGATTTCTGCTTTAAATTATCGTACAATTGAACTGACTAATTGTGTGTTTAAGTAAAGGTATATCTCTTTTTTGTTATAACAGTCTTTGTATATTGTTCTAACTTTTTAGATAATCATAGAAAACAGTAAGACGTCTTAATATATCCTATTTCACCAACAAAAATGTAGAATAATTAATCTCACATCAAACGAAAAAAGTAATTTTAGGTTGTTTTAATAGGTTTTAACTTAAAAACTAAATAAAATATATATTGCAACTGTGTTTAAATAAATGAATGTTTTTATACCTGACTATAGCACCAGACAAACATTTTTTTAGATCATAATGATCTGCATAACTCAAAATAGTCAAAATCCACATTATTTAAGTTGTTATAGTATTGTTTTAGCGTAACGATGTTAACTCTAATAATAAATATTCACATTTTTTGGGACGTTTTTATTCTTGTTTAGTTTTGTACTATATAATATAGTTCATTAGGTAGTGATTTAAAAGCAAATTATGTTCTATTTATAGAATAAAAAATCACTCATAATATCTAAATATTTATACCTATTTATATTTTGGACAGGAAGACTATTTTATGTTTTTGGCTCTGAATAGTTTTCTTAAGAATTTTAAAACCTTCCTTAGCTCTTTTGGGATATTCCATGCATATCTTAGAAGTTCATTTTGTTTAAACCTAAAACAAATTAAGTACAAAAAATGAACATTTAAGCAATACACAAAATTTGTCTTTTAGATTAGTTAAAAAAAAGTTACAACAAAAAAATAGCTATGCCTTTTTCCTTAAACATTCTTTTTGAAAGAAACTTAAGTTTCTCTACTTACTTACTGTTTTAGTATTTTAGTAGCAGATAAATATAGTGTAGAAGTAGTGACAGGATTGATTATTATACTTCTTTCGTCGAAATTGCATTTTTCTTTAATATTTTCCTTCCCTGAGGTCTGTAATAAAAATGTTTATTAGCATAAAAAGTTATTCAGGTGGTCACTTGTTGAATTCCTATCTTTTGGAACCATGTATTTCTTTCTCATATCAAAAAAGGAAACCTAAAAAAAATAACAATAAACTTTACAAAGATGTGATATTAAAATAATAATAATAATAAGTAATTAACCTTTACTATAATCATTATGAGACGGATGAAGACGAACTTAGCTGGAGTGTACTTGCTCTTAATTTAAATTTTTCGATAAGAAAATAAGAAAGTTTAATTGCAAATTAAAGGTGATTGCCTAATGCACCGCCTCTGATAATTAGGTTGTGTCTGTACTTATGATATTATCTTGAAGAAGCATTTTCAACAGGCCTTTTACACATAAAGCATGTTTTCACCGTATTATTAGAGATAATAAATCTTAAATATACATTTACAACCCTTACAACGTTATAAATAATAATATTTTTCGTAAAATACAAATAAGAAATTGACATGTGTGAGAAAGTGTCAGAACTGGCGCTCACAGAACACTTCTGGCGCTGTCAAACTTGGCAACGCTGATTAAATAAGCCAATTACAGAAGAGGTATTTTCACCCTCGGGGGGAGTAGATGTTGCTAACAAAATTTAGCGCGGGGCAGGGGGGAAGACTCCCTCTAGTAGTAATTGCTCGGAGCTTTAAACCACATAATACAACATGTCCTGGGTTTAGTGAATACATATTTCTAGATGTTCTTGTAGTAACCAATAGGTAAATATTTCCAACAAATTAAGTCATACACATGATAAATATTATATTTATGACGAAAGCACGAGACTTAAACTTAAATTAACACTAAATGAAACTCAAAAACACTATTACAATGAGAATATTATCTAAAAACACTTAAAAAAATCACAAATACAAAATCCGTCCAAAACAAAAACATCATGGAGGAAAGATTATTAGGCATTCCAACGACCTGTCAAACAATAGGTGCCAGTGGGAAATTTTTGTATATCTAAGGGGGTAGCGACATAATCTTGCAACTTGGACGCTATTTTTATTCGAAGTAGTAGTCGCCAAGCCTGCCAATTTATGAAGAAATATATAGGTGGGTTTTTTAAATATTATTTTTATTGTGTTTGACATAAAATATTTAAATGTTATCCATTATTCATGATTTTACGTAAAGTAGATAGAATACACCGTATGTCGCCACCCTTAGATATACCAAACCTTCCCACTGGCAATTCATTTGTTTGGAATGCCTAATTAAAAAACGTAAATAAACAAACATCCTACTTATAGATGACAAATGATAGGCGCGCGAAAATTAATTTGAATCGCCAATAAATATGTCAGCCTGATATTATTTTCATTTTCAAATGCAGGTGATATTTTTTTCAAATGTAGGTGAGTAAATTGTATTAATTAAGTGTAAGTTAGATTTAACTATAGGCAGGTTCTTAAGAAAATCATTAACTTCTGATTCATTTAAATTTTAATTGCAGAAGTACCTAAGTATTTTTCTCTGTCACGTTTTTTGTCCGCACGATAAGTCATAAACGAAAAATGATATCAACTTGAAATTTTTAACAAGAAAGTTTGTTTTTCCTGCTATTATTACTCTAGAGATCCACATTTTAAACATTTGCGGTCAAAAAAATGAAAGGAGTTGTGAGCTAAATGTGTGAAGCCAATTTACAAACAAATATTGTAGAACCTGAGATAGAACCTGATCTTAGTTTTACTCATAAAGACCATGATGAAAAAAGGCGAATGATTTGTGCTCAAAAAGTTATTGTTCAATTTTTGGGTGATATTCATTATTATATTTATCAAATAATACCCAAATATGTTCAAAAACTTATATGCTATTTAGGTCAACTTGTTAATTTTTGCATAGTTCACCTATTAAGATCATAAATCAGATGTTTTCTATTATTATTGAAATTTTAATACCTTTTATTGCAAGAAAAATGTAAGATTTTAAATTAAAAAGGTTATGACTCGTGTTTATTTTTAATTTTAAGATACACACTGCACCTTTATTTTTGTTTTGTTTTAGATATTCCCCGGTATGGAGATTTTTGGAATGTGCATAAATGTGTTTCTTAATTAGGGTCAGTTTCAAAGCCCACCTGTATTGAAGCTGGAGGCTTATTGTAACCGAAATAGGCATTACAACTATTCTAGATTGAAATAGATGGAAAAAGCCTTAAAGGGACAATAAGTATAAGAATATTAGAATTAGAATGATTTGTCCTTGGATTAATAAGGGATATTTAAAACATTAAAACAATTGTGTTTATAAATTAACTACTTTGACTTTTTATAAATACTATATCCGGTTTTTTTAATAATAAAAACATTGTCATGTGCTATGCTGGTTATCATATTATATTTTTATTTTTCAGTAATTTAGTGTGTGATATAGTGCTTGTTATGTTCAAAATATGCAGTTAGAAGATAATGAGACACATGTAATTACATGGTAATTCTAAATAAATTAAACTTGTTAAAAATGTGTTTTATTTTTCAGTTAAAACAAGTGACATTTTCCATTTTTCAACATTTACCTACAACAAAAATTCACTAAACTTATTGTTTGTTTAGTAGTTGTAAGTAAAAGTTGTCAAATAGAAAAATGCTACTTTAAATTGCTTCAAATATCTAAATTATCAAGCCCGCCAATTTTTAAACCGCTTCAATTAGTAGTGTTCTACTTTATCGACTGAAACTGACAGGTGTAGTTCAACCGTAAGCGCTTAGCGCGCTACTGTCGAGGTCAAGCAAACTTGTTACCAACTATTTACACGGAATCCGACCCCCGTGTAGTTACATAGATTGGGCTCTATCAAGCTAGCGGGCACTCTGTGGCGGCACCATACAAGACCTGCAGGGTTATTCTACTAAATTTATAGCCCGGCTAAAAGTTTATAGCCCGGCTACAAGTTGGATTTTGAAGTTAGGAACATATAAAGTTCAAGCCAAAATCCAACTTGTAGCCGGGCTATAAATCACTGAACTGTATATTTTAAGTATACAGTTCACTGCTATAAATTTAGTAGAATAACCCTGCTGGTGGGCTTTTTGTAGCTTTTTTGTTACGCTATTTGCGAATTTGTAGCTTGCCCAGGTCCGAAAAAACAGCGGATCCGCTAGCTTGAATTTCCATAAATTCCATAGTAGCGGCACAGATTCAGACCCAGCTGGTTTTTCGTAACTTTTTTGTAGCTTTTTTGTTACGCTAGTCTCCCTTTTGTAGCTTGTACTGAACCTGAGAAAAGCGCGGATCCGCTAGCTTAGCGGATATTTTTAGCGGCACCAGCTCGGACCAGGCTCATTTTTTGTAACTTTTTTGTTACGCCTGTCTCCATTCGTTGCGAGGCCTGAACGTGAGTAATATTCGTTTCTCCATGAGCGTGAGAGAAAAGTGCGTTAATTAAAATCAAGTTTCAGCCTCTACAAGTAATATGTGCAACTCGATAGTGTGACTATCTGTTGATAGATGGCACCAGTATTGCATTTCACGAATTATGGCCATCTTCCATCCAATATATTTTTAAGAAATTTAGATATAATCCAAAGAAGTAGATTGATATAATAGGTCTTTTCCTTTGCATCGAAAGTGTAGCACTGAGCCACACTGAGCTATCCTCCATGCTACACCACATGGAGGAAGGATTATTAAGAGTTGCCGTTTCTTTGTAGAAATTTGGCAACATGTTTGCTTGCAACGACCTGTGGGGTGGAGGAGTAGAACTAATCTTACTCTGTCGGTAATGTAGTTACCAGCAGTATTACCATCAACTCTTACTCTGTCGGTAATGCAGTTACCCGTAATTTTATATTTAATTTGAAAATTGGCTGGTTTTTTTAAAGGAGAATTTACTTTTGCAATTATTTTCTAACTAATACGATATTTAGCCATACAACATTTTGATAGTAATTTTTTTAATTTTTTAGTGAAATAAAAAACATGTACGTGTAGCTAAAATATGTTCCTCTGGAGCCACTTTTTCAAAATTTAATCAAATTTTGATGGCAATAAATCGCAAAATTTTGTTTTTATAAAGATGTCAAAAATTGAGAAAATAATTAAGTCAAATAGTGGCTCCAGAAAAACAGACATTTCACTTTTACCTGAAGGTATATATTTTTCATTCACTAAAAAGTAAAATTAAACTATAGAAATATGTGTGGCTCTATTTCGTATTGTTTAGAAAAAGATAATTGCTTAAGTAAATTTTCCTCTTAATTATAATTAAAATTTTCCTTTTTTATTAGCTGTTTGTAACAATTATGAAATGCCCAATAAAAATGTAAAATTCTATGACAAATAATTATGAGGGATAAAATAAATATCATACAAAGTTTTATATAATTATATTTACTAAAAATTCCCAAGAAAAATAAATAAAAAATATATCAAAGAGATGGCAATACAAAAAATATTTTTCATATACTTCACCCCCATACAAGCGAGCTTATGCGAAGCAAGAATGTCTATTATTATTATTATTTACTATGGCGCTCCCGGACGTCTTATAAATGATTATTTAAGAAAGTTACTCTAATATCGCAAACATTACATTACTATTTCGGTACGTTAACTATCTTTGCCTAACAAAAATCAGAAATTGCATAACAAATAATTAATTTACTTGATATGAAAACTAATGCCTAAGTAAATAAATTTTTAAAATAAACGAAAAACAAAACAACAAATTCTTCTTGAATCTTAGGAAATCAGACAAAAGCAACCATCCATATAAACTGAAACAGAAAAAAATTAAAAGCAGTAACTTCAAATCATTTTGTTTGTCTTTTAGACATTGCAGCAGCCCTCATACTATCATTATAATACTTTCTTATTATTAATAGTAGACAAGTTTCAACTAAATGAGAAAAGACGTCTGTTTTATGTTCTTTATATGTAAACCAGAGACGGCTTGTGGCCTAGTCTGTGAGGAAGCTGGCTCATCCTATATACTTTATACAAATATATATTTCTATTAGAATACAATGTAATATTTCTGCTTTTTGAATTCTTATAGACATATATTTTTATTAAGTATATAGGGTGTGCCTTTTAAAAGTAGTCTCCTCATAGACTAGGCCACGAGTCGCCTCTGATGTAAACTATTTAAAATCAACATGGTCTGGCAAAAAAGTTTAATTATTTGAATTATGTTGTCAATATGACCCAAAAGTTGTGAAACTATTTCAAGGATTTTTGAAAGAAATTCAATAACATTTCTTTGTACATAAATAAAACGTCTTTTATCATAATTTTCTTTAAAATAAGTAAAAGTAACGATGGTATTCTAACATGTCTGTAAATTAACTTTACACTCTTTGCAGTGAAACCTATTAAGTTTCTTAATAAACCCTGCAACATAACTAGTGGCCTGACTCAAATTCTGCTTCATTTATTAATTTTGTATATATTATTAAAATGAACTTTATCCACACAGGACTCTGTTTGGAGGTGTGATAACAATATTACTAAGTACTACTATCTTTGGTGTATCTGGTTTTGAGGATGCTAAAGCAAGGTAAAGCAAATCTTTTAGCAGTCTTGAACGATTTGTGTTTGTAAACAATTTTGTATCAAAATATGATTTTCACATAATGTATAATGATTGGGGTTGTAAGTGGAATGTTTAAAATACGACACCATTCCGTTCTTTGATCAATATCAGAAGGAAATTTAAAAATGTTTGTTCTTAAAATTTACGTTTGGAATGGGCCTTATAAAATGTACTATAACAATTAGAAATTATGCGTTTATAATGAATTCTGCCTGGTAAAGACATGTTAAAGCATCAAAATACCTTTACTTGATTTTAAATAATCCTAAATAACTTATATCTAAAAAAATAAAAGTAGTTCCACTCACATGTTTTCGTCCACAATATATCCCCTATAGTAATGTAACTGGGATTCAAGAAATGGCTTTGAGTTACGCTGCGGCCAGACACAGGTCTCATGGCGCTAGTATCGTTATTGATTTTTGACTTCGGCACGTTCATTGGTTGACGACGAATTCAAAACAATCTGATCGGAGCGTTACTCACTCCCACTCCTTCTCTTTGTTTAGATACTTATAAAAGAAAGAGATACCAGTTAATAATTTCTATTTCGAATCATCTTTCATTCTTTAGCGTTGAGTTTTTATAAGTGACATTAAGTGAAGCGTGAAGTGTCAGTGTTGACAAGTGATAATTTTTTGATTTTTTCTTCTACGAAATTTAATATTAATTTTGTTTCAGCGATATTTATTGTGATTTGTGTTGTTGTATTAAGTGCTTTCTTATTTAATATGGGAAACAAAACGTACAACAAACTCAGAAAAAGAGGAATCGAGGAGGGATTGCTATCTATGGCTGTCATCCAAGGGTCTGCGCCCTAGATAATACTTTTCCAGTGGAAAAAGCCTTTAAAATTCAAGTATAACAATTGTATGTTTCCGTTTTCCCTTCTTTTAATGTAGGTGCCAATTTTGTGGTAAGTTTGTAATAATTTTTCAGTTAATACCTACCCTCTTAATATTATAATTTAACTATGATCTTATGCTTTCCTATGGACACGATTCAAGGAGGGAGTCCTATGGCTGTCATCCAAGCCCTAGATAATAGTTTTCCAGTGGCAACAGCCTTTAAAATTCAAGTATAATAATTTACTTTTTTCGAAGTAGATGTCCATTTAAACTAAAATTTTTTATTTCACTTATTGATGTTAGCATTTATATACAGTATCGGCTAATGAACACTTTCCAATACGCTTGGCTAGAATCGAAAATAAAACTAAAGAGTTAGCGCATTAGTTTGATCAGGAAACGAATAATATGAATGTTGCCTTGTGTGCTGTGTAATATGAACAGGCACACGGTGTGATGCATCCCCACGTAGCCGGTTGGCTACGTTCATAGTATTATATTCCTTCTCCCACTAATGCTAACTCTTTGTAGTTTTTACTTGGACATTAGCAAAACGTATTGTACAACATTCGATAGCTGCCACTGTATTATCACAAACATCTCTTAATAACTAAATGATTTCATTTAATAGTTTCTTTTTTTTTTCAGTAAAATGGATATGGCTAGAGTTATCTTCGTCTTTAAAATATATTAAATAAGTTTTATAATTTTTCAAATAAAATACTTTATACAATTTTTTGTTTTTTTACCAGAGCCAATTTTTTTTCAGATCTAACCTCTATAGGTAAAAAATAAGTGATTTAGGTAAAATTGAAAAGTATATTACATGTTCTTTTAAATGTGTTGTTAATCCAAATGCTGCTCTTATTGTAATAGCTAATAATAAAAGAATTAGTATTATTTTTAGCTATCAAAATAAAAATAGCGCCTGGATTTACAGCTCGTTTAATCGAACATGCAATATACTTCTCAATAATTATTGCCGAATGAATATATTTAAAAATTCCCGCCATTCCGCGGCTGAAAATTTACAATTTTGGCGGGAAATTTAAATTTCGCCTTTAAATTATATTTGAATTTATCGCCATATCGAGTTAGTTGAGCGGCCAGACACAGACGCATTCTTGCGCTGCAAACTTAGTGCCAACCACAAAGCACATAGAGGTTCCACGTGAATGACCAAGGTCAAAACCGACAACTGACATTTTTTATGCTATTTGCTCCAAACTCTAGATGGGGCTACTGGTGAAATTATGATTTCTTACCAATGAAGTGGAGAGGGGTAGAATGATAACTGTCAATGAAAAAGTCTGGACACTATGCACAATTTCGTTTTGCACATTTTGTAAACAAGATTCAGGGACGGTTTAACAACATTTGTGCAGCAATTAAAAAATAGTGCATCGAAAAATAATTAACAAGTATAATTTAATACTAAATCGGAATAAAAGCATAAAAAATCACAAATATAAGCAATATAACAAAGAATTGACGCCAAAAAAGCTAACAACAGTCAAAACACAAACAAAAAACTGAGCTGAACATGAACATAATCGCTGAATAAAGTCGATCCTGGAATTTGTTTACAGTGCTTTAGGGCAACCTCTCCTTGTCATTTACGTGTGTAAGAGTGGAAGGCTGAATCACGCATAATTTCTACACTCGTGATGGATGCGCAGACGGTACCTTATCGTTCTACCCTCTCTACTTCTTTGTTTTTTACTCCATTTTTAAGCCTTATGGGAGAAAAACTAACCAAAGACTCCAAAGATGTGACGTGTATTTATTTATGTTCTTGGTTAGTTTCATTTTTCCGTCTGATTTTAGTAATTTTTTCTTGGCTTTGGCTTTTGGTTTCTGTTTATAGTTTCGTCTTAGTTATTTGCAAAATTGTGATGTTTCGGTTTTTTATTTCCTACTGTGTTTTGCAATAATTTTGGTGCTACGTTGAAAACTTCGAGAAAAACTTCATTTATTCACCATGCATCTGCATCATAAAAATACAAACGGGGACAACAACTAATTGATAATCAATTTATCACTGGACTAGATTCCGAAATCTGTATCACCATCTGTATTTGGAAGGAATTGAATGAATAGTTAAAAGGATCAGTGTTGCCAGAGCACTCTGAAGTAATGTAATAGAGGAACTCTCAAAATTGTAATAAATTTCAAGAAAATGTAATAGAAATTTTAGTCAACGTATTTTTTTGGACTACTTGTGTATGTG